TTCTCCACAACCTTGACGACACTTGTTATTTTCTATTTTTTTTACAGTAGCCATTCAATAGTAGCCGCCAATGGGTGTGAGATGGTATCTCGTAGTTTTGATTTGCATTTTTCCAATGATTAGTGATATTGAGCATCTTTTCATGTGCTTATTCGCCATTCACATATCCTCTATTTTTAGGAGAAATGTCTATTCAAGTCCTTTGCCTCCCTTGGAGTTCTCACACTTTTACCTGTCCCTTGACCAAGGCCTTCTGGGATCTGTGAAGTTTTGGGACCTCCATGTCCTTCAGCCAGGGTTATGTGGGACACCCACCCACACCCCCATCTTCCAGAGCTCCAGCCCCTGAGATCAGACCAGGGGGCTGACTCATTTTCACTGGGCACCACCCCCAGAAGTGGCATTCTGTTCCTGTGGCCTTTTAGGGCCTGCTGCTGGAGCCTGGCACCCTGAGGTCTGGGGACAGTCTCCTAGAAGGCCAATTAGGCTGGGCTAATTGAACACTGCCATTGGCAGTCTTCATAATCAGACAGGTTTCCTGCTGGGAGCCAACCCTTTCGTGTCCCTGACTCTCCCAGGGTGTTTTTCCTACCCTTAAAGAGACATAGAATTGGATTATGTGACTCGGTACCTGAGGAAGCTCCTCCTTCTTGCTTCCACAGAAATAATGGCGCTGACCTCATGTGGGTTGGAGAACAAACCTCAGAGTCCTTATCCAGAGGGCAGGAACAGGGTGTCATCATTTTCTACTTCTGGGTTTCTCAACAGGTCCACTACTGGTGTTTCGGACAGGACAGTTCTTCCTCATGCAGGAGGGTCCCGCTCATTACGGGATGTTTACCATCCCTGGCTCCCTGTGCTCGAAATGCTGACCCCGTCTCCCCAGTCATCCCACATATTTCCAAATGTCCTCCAGGAAGGTTCTGCCCCGAGTCTAATCCAAAAGGCACCAAGTGGACACCCACAAGCAAGGAAGTGGCTGAGATTCCCAAGATGCTGAAATCATCTGATGTTTTCAGATCCGTCTTGGCTTGTCCCCAGGACCTTGACCTTCGGCTCTCTGAGGCTGTGACTGTGTTTGATTCATTTCTGCCATAAGTTTTCAACTCCTTTAGGTAAATGCCAAGGAGCGAGATTGCCGGATACTATGGTAAAGTGTGTTTAGTTTGTAAGAAACCGCCAAACTGTTTTTCACAGTGGCTGTACCATTTTCCTTTCCTTTATACATTTTTTTCATGTAACATTTTTACGGTTAAAATTTCCCCTGGACATACCTAGATGGTCTGGCCTGGCCTCTTCAAGTGGTCTGCCTAGTCCTCAGCGCACCTTTGATCTCAAGACTTAATCCCCAGGACAGGAAATTTTCTGTATGTCTTTGGTGATTGTTTCTCCATGGGCTCTGTTCTCTACTTCTGGAATGTCTGTTATATAAGTATATTGGATTTCCTGGGCATTTCCTCTCTCTCTCTCTCTCAATTTCTTCATTCTTTTTTTCAGAGTTATGGGGAAGGTTCTCAAAGCAGTCTTTCCTGATTTGGTTTTTAATCTAAAATAAATTTCTTATTTTGCATATTTTCCCAAATTCATGTGTGGATTGACCTTTTGAATATTATTTAGGAGGTAAATTTGGGGATTTTACTCTTTCTCAGTTTTTTAGATTCCAGTAACCCAGGTAACAAGGATACAATATCTTATATCTTTTCTAATGTGTCTAGTAATTTTTCTCTATTTGCTCACTTTACAGAGGGACCTAGATCATGTTTCTTTGGGATTGGGATTTGCAATGATTCTATAAAACATAATGTAGATCATTTTCAAGCATGTTGGTTCCAGGCAAAGGAGAAAGAAAAAAAACTTGATTGTTCCAGGTTTACTTTTCTAGACTAGGAGGTCTAGTTGGCTGTGATTAGGGCAAGGGGAGCTCCTGAGAAGAGGAAGAAAGGTTGCTGCTGTGCCTGGCAGCCTCTTTTCAGTATTTGCCTAGGCAGCCCAAGGTTAGCTGGGGGAGTGTCTCCCTTCTCTAGATCGCATGAGCCCCCAGATTAGGAACCTGCTGGCCAATGTCCCCGCTTTTCTGTGCAAAACAAAAGATGGGCTAAAACTTGGCCACCTGCTCTGTGAGCAGCCACTTGTGCAGTTCCCAAGGTCACTCAGCTCGACCCCTGGCTGTCCCCACCTCACTCTTGTTCCTAGTCCTGGCTGTCTGTCGTAGGGCTTTAGGGAGGCAGACCCTCCATTAGCTCTCGGAGTGCCTTTCCGTAGTCAACACGTCTATCAGTCTGGTTCCATCTGCACTGTATCTTGTAGAAATTCCTTAAAGTTTCTTGACCAGAATTTGGAACAGAGAGGAATTAAATGCATAAGTTCAAATCATGATCTATAAACAAAAATCAGGATACTGTAGTGTTCGACAGGTCAAAATATGAAACTGATTTATTTACAGTGTGACCACTAGGTGGTGCCACCAATCAGTGAAAACAATGGTTGCTATTACCGGACAACCAGCAACCGCTTGCAGCTAGTACAAGCAGTTTGTGAGTTTGTATGGAACTTGCATGCACTTGTGCATATGTGCATCAGTGTGTGCGCACAATATTCTTAGTGCATGAATTTGCCCACAGAGCAGTGTTGGTTTACAAGTGCACATACTCATGGCACTACATGCATAAGTCTGCACCCTGGAAAGTATGGGCATGAAGCTAAATGATATGAACTCCAAAAGGCTGACCTATCAGCCATGTGGTCTGGAACTCTGGTCCCTCAGCTAGGACGGTTGCTTGTGGAATGTGGAGAAGACCCAACCCTATGGGAGAAATACAACGACAACACCCCAGGTCAGCTTTTCTGAGCTGGGGGATCCCTAGATGCATCCACACGTGCCTCTAAAGTCATCAGTCCTGCAAGCCCTTGTGTCCAGTCAGGTCTCCAAGAAGGTCTCAGTCACTTCTGAAGTCCCAGAGGACTGTGGTCTCAACACCATCCCCCGAGTGCCCAAAGCATCTGATAAAATGTCCACCTTGGGATCCCACCTTCTGTGCAGTGGGGAGTGACCCTGCACCTAAGAAAATAAATGTGGTTTGTGTGTGTGTGTGTGTGTGTGTGTGTGTGAGGGGGTGGGGCTGCCCCCATCCCTTCCCCTCAGAGTGGTCCCAGGTACACATCCTCTTCCCTCTTGTGTCTGCGGAGGGCCCCAGCAGACCTCAGACTCTCACTCTGGACACCCTCTCACTCCAGGAATAGGGCCGCCTCGATTACCTGCTGTAGAGAGTACCCTATAAAGCTGAGGGACCTCAGGCAAGTCTCTTCCCTTCTCCAGCCTCAGTGAGAGCTGGGTCTGAGCAATTCCAAGAGGCCCTTTGTGCGGACTGAAGTCCTGCAAGTCTGCGGGCATCAGGGCCCTGCCCCCCTCTAGTCGCTGGGGTGGATTGGGAGTCTGCTTAGAGAAGCTCTGGAGAAGGAGAACGTTCCGTTTGCTTTCCTCATCCTCCTTCCAGCAGACTTCCCTCCTTAACAGGCCCCTGGGGAAGGCAGCTGGGTTCCATGGCCCCAGAAGCCGGCAGGAGGGACTTCTTGCTCCAATGTCATTAAAAGTTCAAGTGCCTCTCTACCCCAGGATTCATTAGACCTGCTGCCCCCTGAGCCCAGTTTGGTTGAAGGGAATGTGTGGCCTTTTCATCCAAAGAAGTTTTCACTAAGGGTTTGAGGCCTCTCTGAGAGAGCTCATCTTGGATTGAGGTCAGAGAGGGAAGGTCTTTGGAGGTCACCTCTTGCCCTGGCACTTTCCCAGGGGAGGAAATAGGCTGGTTCAGGGAAGGGGCGTGCCCAAGTTTACCCAGAGCCAGACTTGCTGGCTGCCGGAACATTCCTCCAGGTGGCAGGGAGATGAGCACACACCTAAGATTGAGTGGAGAGGAAGTGGCGGGGGCCTCAGCGTGGAGGGCCCTGGGACCAGTGGCCTTGGGGACCCAGACGCAGAACTGCAGCTTTGAGGAGGCCCCACTGCGTGTGAGGAAGAGCTTTGAGAACGGCCAGACAAATCCACAGCAGAAAGGGCTGCCCAGGAAGATAGCGGGTACAGGTCCCTGAGGCGTGCGAGTGGGAGGGGCAAGTGCTTATCTAGGACGAACAGAGTGGATCGAGACCAGGAGCGGGAGAGGTGTCTGTGACCGCTCAGGTCCTGCCCGCTCTGTAAATTCTCCACCAGGCAGGAATGGCGTCATGGCTGCTGGAGGGAGGGGGGACGGAGCAAGGAGCCTGCCGTTTATGGCCAGTTGAGACTGTCGAACTGGGAACCAGGAGGCTGGACTGGGGCCTGGCCTCTCTGAGCTCCGTGAACTCCTTCCTGCCTCCTGCAGCCGTGGGCTACCACCCAGACCTTCTTGGCTCCCAGACCTGGCAGAGCCGAGGACCCAGAGACGGTTAGTGGTTCAGCTTCCCTGGATGGTGAAAATCTGCCTGTGGTGCCTCACTGGGCTCCTGAAGTGCAGGACGATCCGTTCCACAGAACCGGACTCAGTCCTGGAGGACTCTGGGCTGCGGGACAGGGGGCCACAGACCCTCAGATGGCAGCTCTCACAAGTCACCTAGTCTAAACTCCACTGCAGGAATATTGATGGCAAACACGTATCAGGAACTGGTTTAGGTGCTTAATAAGTCTTAACTCCCTGAATCCTCAGAAAACGCTATGTGAGAAGATACTCTTATTAGCTATTTTACAGATGAGGAAACTGAGGCACAGAGAGGTTAAGTAACTTGTGCACAGTCACAGAGCTAGTGTGTCATACAATTCCAGAACCCATGTTCTTAATTGATGTGCTGTATTGTCTCTAAAAGAGGAGGGAGGTGAGGCCCAGGGATGGGAAGGGGCTGGCCTGGTCACTTGGCCAGGCAGCAGGGATGGGAGAGCCCATGGCCCTGGATCCCTTATCTCCAGCCTCAGGGCTCTTCCCTCCATGGCCCCTCCTAACAGCTCCTCTGTCCCCACCCAGCCTCCCTGTGGGTCTCCCCAGAGTTAACAGTCGCCTGGCTTCACCCTTGGCCGGCAGCTCCAGCCCAAAGAGGCTGTGCCCACATTCCCTGGCTGCTCTCCAGACCACAGGCACTGAGACAACAAAGTCCAGTGACTGTGAGGGCTGAGCAGAGGCTGCAGAAGGGGAGGAAGCAGTAGGGAGCCGCCGAGCGGAGGGGACTGTCCAGGTCCCAGATGCTGGGCCTCCTGGGGAGCACGACCCTCGTGGGCTTGGTCACGAGTGCTGCTGTGGCAGTGCTGCTGCTGCTGCTGCTGCTGGCCACCTGCCTGAACCACGGACCGCGGGACCATGATATGGAGAGGAATCTGGCTGCAAGGAGAAACCGAGTCCGGTGGGCCCAGCCTTGGGTCTTCCCAGCCCGGGGCCACCCGAGACACTTTCACCATCCCCATCATCCTGGCCATGGGCCTCCCTTGCACCACGTGGGCCTCCACCATCAGGTCCACCACCACGCCCACCGGGGCCACCACTGATGCCTGTGGAGGACAGTCACGGCCTGCACTGCCATCACCAGGACAAGTGGACACAGATGTTCCTGTGGCGAACTCTGGGCACCGTCCCCCGGGTCCTGCTGGGGCTTCCTTTGTAGGCTGTGCCCCAGTGTCTGCAGAGGCAGAGGACTGAGGAGCACCGGGGTCGGGGTGGGGCGAGAGCGGGCGTCGTCCTTTGGGGATGGACACCACCTTGTGACTGTGACTCCCAGCAGGCCCCAGTATTGGTGGCCTGTTCATCACCCCCGTGTGCCGCGCACAGAAGACGTACCATGAAGTGGACTTCTGCCTTCCTCAGGCCTCTGGCCGGGGCAGCGGGGAGGGGCCCCGGCAACGCCCTTCGTTTGGAGAAGGCAGTGTGAGGCTGCACAGTCAGTTTACTGGTGCCTTAACACAAGACAATAAAAGCCACTCAGAAATTTTGCAAAGAGGCTCTTGATTGTAACTCAAGTGGGAGGGAGGAAGTGGCCAGGCTTGTGTTGCATTGGGCTGGGACCTCCCTCTCTGATGGGAAGTGAGTGCCTGCAGCAAAGCCTTCTGCCTGGGGCTCAGGGTGGCTGTGCAGTGGGAGAAATTCCGGGGACAGGAAGTGCGAAGGGCACGGGGCCTGAGCTCTGAGGGAGGATTCAGGGTTTGCATGCAGCCCTGTTCAGGGCTCTGTGTGCACCACTGGGGCTCTGGGCTTCCGTGGGACAGTCAGAAAGGGGAGGCGTGGGCTGCCCAGGTTGGCTGCCCAGGGCTCTACCTTCAGTGCTCTTTCTAGCCCTTCTCCAGGGCAGACTGAGCTCTGAGACCTGCAGAAGCCCCACTGCGTGGGCTGTGTTGAATTTACTGTTTCCTTGATAACTGGGGCAGGGTTTCTTATCTCAGCCTTGAGTCTCCAGCCAGCCTGCCTGCCTGCAGCCGTGGGGCTGGGAGGGCGGGGTGAGGTTCTTTAAACTGGAGGATGTGGTGCTGGGCGGCCTGGGGAGACTGCTTGCTTCCTTGGGTCTCAGTTTCCTCTTCCCTAAGATGGGATAGATAAGAGACTCCTTCTTGCCAGAGCCAGAGATGTGTTCCTAAACATTCCACCAATAATTGGGGGATTCCACAGCTGGGAAGGAAATCACACTCTGAGCCTTCAGCCGGTGACTGTGAGCTGGGTGGGGGGACTTGGAGGGAGGAGAGGCTTGGGGGCCAGGCGACGTGGTAGGGAGGGACTCGAGAACAGGCCAGAAAGTCAAGGGCCTGGTGACTCACTGGAACAGAACGTCCTGTTTCTTTCCTATTTCCCGGTGGATTCTCTGTGAGGGCTGGGGGTGGGGAGGGGGAGAGGGAGGCAAACTCAACCTGACAGCCACGCTAGACTCAGGGGTGGGAAATGGACCACGGGTCACCACACACTCTGCAGTGTCCTTCACATCCGCCTCCCCTCCTCCCACCCCTGGGCCTGTCCTAGCTTGCCCCCAGCCTGGGTTCCTGCCGCAGCCCCTCTGGGTCTGCTGGCCTCCAGCCCTGCCCTTTTCTGAAGCATCTCCAAGTTGTCGCCTGAGGTATCTGCCAAAACTCCTCGTTGCCCTTGATAAAGTCTCTGCCTCATGGTGGGCCATTCAAAGCCCCCGGATCAGTTCCCAACCCCCACCCACCCCGCCCCACCTTGCCCTTTTGTCCTATCCATACTGCTCCAGTCATGGCCCTAGAGAACACCCTGTGCCTTCCTCTCTCTCTGTCCTTGCCCAAAGAGGATTTGTTGCTCCCTCCAGTGGGTTTCCAATTTATTATTATTATCATTATTTTTGTATTTCTGTTGGAGCCCTGACCACACTCTCTTTCCCCAGAGATTTATGGGAGGATTCAAGGGCCCTGCTCTTGCAGATCTGAGACCTCTTTGAGGGCTCCCTGCCCCCCAGTGCAGAACCAGACCACAAGACAGATGATCAGGAAGGATTCTCAGAGCCCCATGTTCTCTGGAAAAGTAAATATGATGGGAATAATCATTGCCAGAAGTTTGGGGCCCGAGGGACGCCAAGTATGGCCGTAGGGCCCTGAGGGGGTTAGCCGAGGGCCTTTGGGCTCCTGCGGCCTCGCTGAGGGAGCTCGTGCTCCCACTCTATCCCCCAGTGCTGGGGTGTCTGAAAGGTAGGAAGCATTGAACAGATGGAGGTCTGTAGCCCACTGGCCTGGACCTCCCCTCCCCCTCGTCTCTGCAGAGCCCCCTGCTGGTCTCTGATGGCCTGCCCTTCCCAAGTGTGACCTCCGGCCTCTGGGAGAACTGGCAGGCTCTTTATTTAGGATGCCTGCCATCCCCTTGTCCCGGTCCATGCAGGTGGAACATATGGGATGTGGTCTTTTTTCCGATCAGTTGAGATGACGGATGCTGGGATCACACACACATATCTAAGTGATGGATATCTGGGAGCCCGGTTGCATCTGGGGCTCCTGGGCAGGGGCTGTAAGTTGCAGGGTTACAACACTCCCAAGAAGAAGAGAAGACACCTGGGAATAACCCTAACGACAAACATCTCTGACTTGTGGGCCAAGGTCGATGGCCATCTTGCTCTTCTCAACTCTCCTGAGAGTGCTGCTGCCACCTGTCACAGTGCAAGGCTGTTGGGGGCGGTGTGGCGGGTGCAGAGCTGGGAGGGCACTGTGGGAAAGGCTCTAACCTTTGTCCGCCTTTATCAGCAGTTACTCTTTTTGCCCTGGGCTGAAGGTGCCACACTGGTTATTCCACGTTGGTCATTTCATGTTGCAAACCGCCAATGTGAGGTCATGAAGACCCATAAGAGCCTTCAAAGCAGACTGTGCCCGTCCTCACTATGTAACCCGGGTCCCTCTCCTTGTGCCCCACAGCCTCCAGTCAAATACTGAATGTCTATTATGAGGATGGACCAGAAGGCCTATTTTACAGATGAATCAAAGACGGGTCAGCAAATCTCAGAAACAGAAAAGGAAACCAATACAAGGCAGAAGGTAAAAGAGCTGAGCAATTGTCCTTTATTCCAGTTTAAAAATGCTGAACTACACGCACCCACAAAGAACAGGCAAACAAGCAGTCAAAGGAACAAATAACCCAGCTTGAAACTCAGTCCTCCTGGGGCCCTCCATCTCCCGGATCCACTAGTTGATCTTGGTAATTCAATGTGAAACCCCAGCACCGCTGATTGCTCATCATGTTTCTTTCTCTCTGTTCCTAGTTGCTCCAGTTAATACGAAGAATTCAAGGTGTCCAGCTTCCTGTCACAGCCCCAGCTTGCTCCACGCACCTCCTCTGCCTGCGCGAGCCCAGGTTGTCTAACCATTCTAGAAAAGGGAAGAGTGAGAACTTACAGGGCGTCATTTATTCTGGACAGTCACTCTCCCAGTCTGTGTGTAGGTGGTTTCCTAAAACTGGTACTAAAGAAATTTCGCTGGAGGGCCGGCCCCATCGCGTAGCGGTTAAGTGTGCGTGCTCCACCGCCGGCGGCCCGGGTTTGGATCCTGGGCGAGCACCCAGGCACTGCTTGTCAGGCCATGCTGAGGCGGCGTCCCATATAAAGTGGAGGAAGATGGGCACAGATGTTAGCCCAGGGCCAGTCTACCTCAGCAAAAAGAGGAGGATTGGCATGGATGTTAGCTCAGGGCTAGTCTTCCTCACAAAAAAAATAAGAATAAATAAATTAATTAAAAAAATTAAAAAAAAAGAAATTTCACTAGTGCCTTGGAGTAATTGCAAAGGACTCAGGCTGTGTGATCTTGGGCTAGCCCTTGGCCCTCTTTGTCCTTCACACTCTGATTTACTAAAATTGCAGAATGAGGCAATTGCTTTGTGGTCCGTGGTACCTGGGAAGAGCATTAACCTAGGAGGGAAGGAAAGAATCCCTCCTTGGGCATTTGGTGCTCTGGTTACCACTACTCATTAGCATAGGCCACAGGCAGGCTGCTGAACCTCTGTGACCGTCAGCACCTTTATCTGAAATGAGACAACGTCACCTCACAGCGTTGCTGGAACGATTCTAGGAGCTAACACCTGGCTGTGTCTAGTACCTGGAGTTATCGTTTCTCACTACTCCATTTCTGAGTTTGGGTAAAGTGAGGCTAATAACCCAGTCTCCTTTCTGGAAGTGGTGGTGGTCTCAGGAGGCGTTGGCTGTGACAGAGCTGTGACTGACTGAGAGGACTGAGAGTCAGGGTGGAGCCCCTTCTGGCAGACTTCCTCGGTGGCCTGGGCCTGGCCGACGACATCCTCCCCACCCCACCCCCCCAGCCCCTACCCTGGAGAACCTGGCAGGGGGCAGGACTGGAATGGCATGGGGGGTGTTTGAGGGTGTGTGGGTAAGTGTGGTCACCAAGGGGAGAAGGCAGTTGTGCAGGTCCTGGGCCCTCACTCACAATTGGAGGAAGGAATTCAGGAAGTGCTCACAGCCACTCAGACCTCTCAGAGCCTAGTCCCAGGCAGGAGCAGGGCTGCAGCAGCCAGGGATGAGTGTGCCATGGCCTGGCCCCTGGGGCGGCCACCAGGTCAGGAGGCCAGGGCACTGCGTACAGCCAGAGCTGTCCTTCCGGGAGCCCCGGGTAAGTTTTCACAGCACCTGGATGTGGGTAGCGGGCGTGAGCAGGCAGCAGGGAGGGCTGGAGGAGGCTGGCACAGAAGAGGGCTTCTTCCGGAACCACAGGGCAAAGGAGCCCCACAGTGTGTCACTGAAGGGGCTCAGATATCCCGCGGAGCCTGCCCTGCCCTATCTAAACAGCACTCTCCCAACCCCGTCCAGAAAAGGAGGCCAAACAAAAGAGACCCTCCCCACAGCCCCTGCCACAGCCCCCATGCACTCGTGGAGACCCAGCAGTGCTCCCTTACCTTGTCCAGAGCTGGCATTTCCTCCCCACCTGTGTCCCTGCCCCCAGCACAGGGACAGGGGTCTTGGGAGGCAGCAGATAGGCTGATTCGAGGACTGGGCCAAGGTTCCTCTAGGGGAGGATCCCTGGCGCATCCCGCATTCACAGGATGGGGAGTGTTTTGTCTTTGGTCTGAGTGTACAAACTCCCTTGAAATTTGTAGGTGTCACCAGAGGGCTGTGTTGGCAAGGCTCCCTCTGAGCAAAGTCTTCTGCCCCCTCCTTCCAGCCCCTCCGGGTCCAGGGAGCCTTGAGTGTGTATCTTTCAGGACGGCGCTTCTTCTAGACGCCACCTGTGGAGTTGACCACAGCCCTTGGAAGCCTGGCCAGAGGCTTAGGAAACAGCACCAGAGACCAACTGAGGTCAGAGTAGGGCCATGAGAGGCGCCCAATGGCCTAGAGGGGGCACGACCCAGGACCTCCGACCAGAATCTTCTCAGAAGACTGCAGGGAGAGCGGCTGGAAGAGCCTTCTGCTCCAGACAGGGAGCTAAGGCTCCAAGACGCACCCCAGTTGGCTTAGCAGGTCAGCTGCCACACGGGGCCATGGAAACGGCAGTGGTTGCAGTGGTGGTGGTGCTGCTTGTGGTCACTGTGGTCATCACCTGTGTCCTCTGCTGCTTCAGCTGTGACTCGCGGGCCCCAGATCCTCAGGGGGGCCCTGGCCGCAGTTTCACAGTGGCCACATTTCGCCAGGAGTCTTCCCTCTTCTCGGGGCTGGGTCACCATGCCCAACCAGTGGTGGGTGCCCAGGACCTCTCGACCGTCATTGAGGCCTAATAGCCCCCAGGATTTGTTCTGCTGGTGGGTCAGACTCACCCACCCCCCAGCAAGCCTTCCCTGGAGTCCCACTCCTCTGAGTCTGTTATTCTGGTCCTTCTCGCCTATATCTAGTGAACTCCCTGTCCCATCCCATCCCAGCCTGCTGTGCCCTCCAGCCTGGGAGATCCGTGGTGGTGGAGCCAGGTGGGAGTCATCTCTGATCCCTGAGAGCACACCTGGACCCTACCCACAGATGGGGCTTAGAGTGCCAAGAGTGAGTGATGGGACATGGTGTCAGAGTGTATGGTGGGCCAGCTCTGCTGATCTACAGGCGGCACCGAAATATCACTGGAATTTATTGTGAACAGGGTGCCGGTCAACTCAGGTTACCCCAGGATGCCTGCAAAACTGGTTCTATTGACACCAGAGGAAGCAGCGCCCTCAAGTGGACATTTTCATAAACCACCTCCTCTCGGCTCCCCTCTTGAGAATTTCTGCTATTAGTATGTGCACCGGGCACAGAGGCCAGTCCTGGGGCCTGTGCCGCCAGCTGCCTGAAATCAGCCTTGAAACTCTGAAACCAAAGAGCCGCTTCCTGAGAACAAGTGATTTATCCCATAACTGAAAATGTGTATTGTTTTATGGGTCTCCCAAGAATCAGGGTTGGAAAACCACAAAGGGAAACAGAAGAGAAAATAAGAGTCAGAGAAAGTACGAGATGTTTTATTAACAGAAATCCAGAAAGAAGACTTGGAAATATGTTTTGAATGAGACTTTATTACTGTAGTCTAACAGGTCACTTCTATTCTTAGAGAATGTGAGTTATTTGCATCACTTAGGAATGATGGAAAAATCACGAACTGGAAGATAATTCCAAATAAGTTAAAATATTATGTTACATTTGAGAGCATGTAAAAAAACACGATGTTCAGTTTTTATTAACAGAAAGTCTGTTTTCTCTGTACCCATGAAATAAATGCTGTGCCATATTTAGAATATGGTTTGAAGGCTGCAAAATTCTGAGTATCCTGGCTCTATGGCTCCATCCAGCCCCGAACGGGTGGCTCTCCAAGGACCTGCCTGTTGCGGGGGGCAGGATGGACACTGAGGGGGGCTATGGCCTCTAATGGGGCCCAGACAGGCCAGCCTGGCCATGTGGCTGCCACAGGAAGGACTCTTGGAGAGGGATGCTTGAGGCTGCATAGGTGCAGAGGGGTAAGAGGCCAGGCTGACGGAAAGAGATGGAGCGGGGGGAGCAGGGGGAGGGGAGAGGCACCACCCAACGCCAGGAGCTCCTGGGGACCATGTCTTGGTTACCCTGGACCCTTGAGCCCCCACTCAGGGCCTTCATATGCATGTGGAAGGAAAGCTGGCTGCAGAGATGCCTGGAGACGGAGTAAAGGGAACTGTTGTAGGTTGTGTTCTCCGCAAGTGAACACTGAGACAAAGTTTGGGGTGCAAGATGTTTATAGAGATCAACATCTGTGAGGAGAAAGAGGAGGAAGCAGGATTGGATAGAGGAAGAACTTGTATTATGATGCAGGCCATCAGTATACCCCCCTCCTTTGCAGTCTCTGAAGGCGCCCCACCCCCGCAGAGTTTGCCCTCAGGCAATCAGCTGTGCAGCTGAGGCTGCCCCTGAAGTCCTTTTGAAGGGGTCCTGGGCAGTGCACCTCCACAGGAACTCACGAGGGGCCTGTTCTCAGAGGCGTCCAGACCAGTCAGAGGTGGGCAAGTCTGTCCTGACACAAAGAAATGCCTGGGCTTGGGAGCTGCAGGTGGGCAGAGACGGCAGTGCAAGATCTGAGAGAGGAGAAAGAGTGGGCCTCAGCCCCTCTCTGCCCTCAAGCAAAGTCAGCTCTGTTCCAGGTCAGGTACGCTTCAGCTGGACGCAAGTATCAGGACCCCAGGTCCAGGGCTTTGTCCCTGTGCTGCACAGTTGCAACCTCCCAGGGTCAGTGGAAGGAGGGTCTGTGGGCTGGAATCACATGACTCTGAAAACAAAGCATTGGGGGTGAGCATGGCCTCATTCTGCAGGCGATGGGCAGTCTGGCAAGCCCTGACGTCTCCTCATTTACTCACTTGCTCATTCACCCACTCATCCATCCATCTATCTACACCTCCCATCCATTCACCCACCCACCCATCCACCCACTCATCCATCCACCCACCCACCCACCTATCCACCCACTCATTAATCCACCCACCCACCCATCCATCCACTCATTCAACCCTCTACCCACCCACCCACCCACCTATCCACCCATTCATTCATCCTTCCATCCACCCATTCACCCACTCCATCTACTCACTGAGTCTTCTTTACTCATTTGCTCATGCATTTATTCATCTGTTCCATCACTTGTTCTCTTATTCAGTCTTTCGCTCCTTCATTCAATAAACACTGGCTGAGTACCGACTTGTACCAGGCCCTGCCTGAGGAATGTGGGAGTCAATCAGACACAGTCCTAGCACTCAGTGAACTCCCAATTTAGTGACCTGGACAAGGCCACAAATAACACACTCAGATGCTCAGGAGAGGGAGAACTGGGAGACCCAGGGCAACCTGGAGGAGGTGGCCCTTGATCTGGACTTGAAGGAAAGAGGGCACTTCAACAAGCAGAATTTGGCGGAGAGTGTTCCAGACAGAGGGAACAGCATGAACGGAGGTCCAGAGAGCATGTGGGGGCAGGGAATAAGTGGTTCAGCCTGACTGAGCAGGAGGAGACGAGGCTGGACAACAGCCAGCTCCTGGGGGAAGCACTTCATGCCACATCTGGCAAGCATGCTTCCAGGCAACAGATGAGGAAGCAACAAAGAGGCGGCCTTGCTATCGGCCTGGGCAGGCACAATCTTTCTGAGTACACACACACGCCAGCATTGAAACCTGCTCTTGCTACTGGGCAGTGGTGGCTCCTGCAGTGGAGCCGGAGGGAAGGTCCTTGGAAACTCTGGGGGAGGCCAGCTAGGTGTGGAAGTGAACCTGAGGGCGTGCGAGAAGAAGCTGTCCCAGGAGAGCAGGGAGTTTGAGAAGGGAAGGCAGTCAAGGCCAGCACCCTGGAGCAGGCTGACAAAAGGGAGGGGCTGAGGAGGAACAACCAGAGTAGGGACAGGAAGTGGGGGAGTGTTCGGGGCAGAGAAGCAGGGAGGAGGGCTGCCAGGCTTAGCAATTAAAAAATACAGGACATTTTATTCTCAATAGCCAAGACTTGGAAGCAACCTAGGTGCCCATCAAGAGATGAATGGATAAAGAAGATGTGGTATATATACACAATGGAACACTACTCAGTCATAAAGAAGATGAAATCTTGCCATTTGCGACAACATGGGTCGACCTTGAGGGTATTAAGCTAATCAAAATAAGTCAGAGGGAGAAGGTCAAATACTGTATGATCTCACTCATAAATAGAAGATAAAAACAACAACAAACAAACACATAGAAACAGAGATTGGATTGGTGGTTATCAGAGGGCAAGGAGAGAGGGAGGAGGGCAAAAGGGGTGATTACGCACATGTGTGGTGATGGATGGTAATTAGTCTTTGGGTGGTGAACACGATGTTCAGAAATAGAAGCATGATGATGTACACCTGAAATTTATATAATGTTATAAATCAATATTACCTCAACTAAAAAATAAAGAAAAAGAAAGGGGAACAATTGTTGTGGGGCTAGATGAGCTAACTTGCAAAATGCTTAGAACATTACCAGTGCATAATAAGCAATCAGTAAATGTTGTTGTTCTTGTAAAAAAAAAAAATACACAACATCCCCTTAATTTGGAATCTCAGACCACAGATAATTGTTAGTATAAATATGTCCCATGCAATATTTGGGATATACTTATACTAAAACACTATTTATGGTCTATCTGAGATTCAAATTTAGCTAGGTGTCCTATATTTTATCTTTTAACCCCACAGGGGAGAGAGTGGTTCTCAGAGAGGGTGGGTCAACTGGTTGAAAGCATCAGGAGGGCTGGTGAAGATGAGCACGGAGAAGAGACCTTGGATTTTGCAACATGACAGTTAACAATGACCTTGGTGAGAACAGTTTAGTGGAGTGAAGGGAGCAGCCCTACAGCAGTGTGCGTGTGTGTGCAGGGTGTGTGCGTGCATGTGGTGTGTGTGCATGTATGTGGGGTGCGTGTGTGCGTGTGTGGGGTGTGTGTGCAAGGGCAGTGGAGTCAGTGGGACCTGAGGAAGGGGAGATCACAGTTGAAGATAATTTGAAAGGAAGAAGAGTGATGTATTATGGCCAGAGGGGCATTGCGCTGAGGAAGAGTTTATTATTATTATTTTTAAGAAGGGGAGAGAGATTGAGTGTGTGTAAGGCCTGAAGGAGAGGATTGGAGAGGGAGACACTGACAGTACACCGGCAAGGAAGAGAGCCATGGAGGAGGTCCCTGGGGTGAGGTTGGGAGCCGGAGCCCAGAAAGGGGGTCGGGGGGTCAGGCCTGGATGGTGGGGTGGGGGAGGGGGAATGCTGCCTGGAAGGTCTGGGGATACAGATAAATGCTGCACGTATGTGTGTGTGGGGGACAAGGGGGATGAGCGCGTCATGCCAGATGGGCTGTTTTCTCAGTGAAGGAGGAACATCTTCTCAGAGATGGGTATGGGGGCTGGGGTAAGAAGAGTCTGGAGTGATGACCCAGAGAAGGGATGAGCAGCTCCTCCAGTCCTGCTTTTCTGACATGTGTGGAGTGTGTGGGTGTGAGAATGCGTGTAGGGCATGTGATGTGAGCATGGAATATGTGTGTGGTGTGTGTGTGTGATGCGTGTGGGGGGGGTGTGTGTATGTTGTGGTGTGTGTTGGCCCCAGGTGCTCCTGCCATTCTGCCCAGTGCAGCCCATTGTGTAAGAGGAGGTAGGGCTCTACCCCTCCGAGGGAGGAAGGCAGCAGTGCGAGGACAGAGACTTAGGCTGGCACCAGACGGCTGGCAAAGCCGGGAGTGCTTGTCTGAAGGTAGCAAGGGAAGGGGCTGCTCAAGGTCACCCTGGAGGTGTGGGGTGAGCCACACTTGAACACAGGCCCCCAGTTTCCAAATCCAATGCTCTCTCCATTCATTCTGCCACTAATACCAGTTCCTGTTTATTGGGATCCTCCAGTGCACCGGCACCACACATTCCACCTGTCACCTCGTCAGTGCTCACGGCAACCCCCCATCTCCACTTTAGAGCTGAGGGACAAACGCCTCGCAGCGCTGCTGCAGCAGGAGCGTGCAGGAGCAAAGCCAGCCTGTCCTTTCCCTCTGTAAAGGGGCCTGTATCAAGCAAACTCCCAGCTGACCCACTTCACGTCTTCAGGATGAGGGCAAGGCTGGTTTGCCCTGGGTTTCCCTGGACAAAAGCCTTGCTCACACCTGCCCCACCTGGATCTCTGACTCGGAAGAAGGAAGGGGTCTTTGCCATACACAGTTCTAAAGGGCAGCCCACAAAGCCTCACCCCAGATGAATATCTGTCGAGGGCTGGACTTGTGGGTTAACAGACCTCAGTCCTGAGGCCGCCTGCCAAGGCCTCCCTCAGGCCTCGCACCTGCGGAGGTCCAACTGTGCCTCTCGTGCACGGGGCTCGCTACCGCCACCAACTATGGCTTCCCTCCCAGCTCTACCCCAGGGCAAAGGGCAGGGAGAACCCTGCTCCCTTCCACCCAGCCCCGTCCTAGCCCTGCCCCCACCACTAACTTGCTGGGCCTCAGTTTCCCTGGTTGTACAGAGGAGATGAGAATCCTGTCCTGCCCTGTCTGAGAGTGGGAAGATCCTTGAAATCTCAGCTGTCAGGAGGGGCCCACCCTGCCCTGCTCTTTCTCCACATTCCTGGCCCTGTAACCAGTGTGGTGTTTCTCTCTGGGACAGGCTGGATTCTGGAGGCAAGAGGCCCTGAAATAACATGTTGACAGGAAAAGTACTTTCCTTAAAGGAAACCACTTGTTCCAAGGAGTACAAAAGGGTCATTGTGCCTCATCAGGTCCCTACACCCCCAGGACATGACACTGGAAAAGACAGACACACACATACACACATGCATTCATCCAGCACATTTGCAATAGCAAAAAGTTAGAAGCAGCCTAAACGCCAACCAGGAGGGGCTAATCTGGCAAATCCTAGCACAGCCATAACATGGAACTCAGGCTTAAAAACATGGAGGTAAATTCAAACTCATTCCCACGAAAGGGCATTTATCAGCTATCAGTAAGTAAAAAGTAGAGTAAATTAGAGA